ACCCCTAAGTACATAAAACTTATATGCCTCTAGGTTCTTATATATCTAGCGTTAAAATCAGCTATTAATTTGATCCAAAGGCATTAAAAAATTAGAAAATGTCTCCCTTTTCTCTCTAGCCTAGGCGACATATATGGAATCAGAAATCATTAAAAGGCATTAACCTAGCGATAATATATGGAATGAAGAATAATGAAATGAGCCATTTTCTCTCTTGCCGAGGCGACTGAAACGGTCTCCCTTTTAAAATTTTATCGCCGGAATGAGCCGTCGATCGCAATATAATTGGCCATGGAGCCTCCTCGGTGGCCATCGTACGCTTCGGAGAACCACCTCTGGTGCGATTACGAAATACCAAGCCGCGGCAAAATTCTCACTTATGGTGAAATCGGATTTGCAACGCATCAAATCTGATGAGATCCCTATGGATCTTCCCTTTACTACAGCTGCGATGATTCTCCTTGATCCGACTTTGAGTTTCTCTCATCAGTGGCGGATACTCAGACCTGGGGGGATTTACTCAATAAATTTACCTCAATCACGGTGTGAGGATCGTGTCTCTGATTGGCTCTCAATCAGTGAATGGATCTCAATCAGGGGATTCAATCGGATTATCATGGATTTGCAGAGGAGATTGGGTGACAGAGGAAGGATCTCGGTATTAATATCTAATCACGCTTATGCTCAAACCCATCTCCTCACACATATTTCTATACTCGCTTTTCCTTTTCCTTTTGACGGTAGTTTCCATGTCAATCTGGTGTGCCCACGAATGGCGTTCTTTGGGAAGATGATTGCGGCTGATCAAGAGTCATGACGAGCTACACCCCTGCAACTTCCACCGATCAACAAAGACAAAGTCCTGAAGAAGTTTAAGAGGACGTTGGCGGGAGTAGTTTTCAATTCTGAGATCCAAGAAAGTCGAATGAAAGCATTGATTGCTTTCTTGCCTTCAGTGTGGAAGTGTGAATGTCGTGCACAAGGGATCGAGATGGGACGGGGAAGCTTCCATTTCTGTTTTGGAGAGGAATCGACCCTACAATCGATCCTTGATAACCGGCCGTACCATTTTGATGGATGGATGATTGCCATTGAGCGTTGGGTCCCTACGGTGAGAAGTGATTTTCCGAGTACGATTCCTTTTTGGGTTAAGATCATGGATCTCCCTGCTCAGTACCGGGAGGACGACCAAGTGGAGAGCATAGGTAAAGACTTGGGTATGGTCCGGAACTGGAAGATTGTCGCACCATATCCTATGGTCCGTGTGGAAGTTAGCTGCGATGCTTCGCTTATCCTGTACCGGGAAACACGATCGGATACTGGAGAAATTTTTAGGATAAATTTTGATTACCTGAAGCTGCAAAATTACTGCAAGCGGTGCCTGCGTATGTCGCATGAAACGCGAGCTTGCTCCGACTGGATTGAAAGACAGCCGAGCCGTCAGGTTCCCAATGTCCGGCGACCGGAGGCTGACGACCGAAAGAGACAGAGAGGTCACAAGGCGGAGATGGCTAGACCGAAAGCACCTCGAGAGGACCGCAGCAAGCGCGATTGGGACAAGACGGCGGACATGGCTTCATCGTCCAAACCAAAGCTGATTTGTTGGGATCTAATGACGGAATTGGGTGAGGTTCGTGACCTCAAGGTGGAGAAAAAGGTTGACAAACCTTCAACACAAGAGTGGGTTCGAAAGTCTTTTGGTCGTGATGCTACCAAGAGTGTGACGATTGATACACGACCGGAGACATAACCTCCGACAAATGGCACTGCCAGATCTCGAGCTGCTCGGTATTGTGATTCGGTGGAGGAGGCGGATCTGGCCAGAGCAGTTTACGCTCAGAATCGCAAGTGGGAGACGATTAAAACAGTGAAGCTCCAGTCGCTAGTGGTCCCGATTTCGGCGTCGGAGAGGGATGCGCGACGCGAGACATCGTAGACTGTGGTGGAGCCTCAGCCGGTCGTGACACAGCCTGACTCTGATGGGCCTAATAAGAGAGATATGAATGTTGGGTTGTGTCCTACAAAAGCCCATGAGGGGATAAATAAGGGTGGTATGGATCAAATCATTAATTTGGAAGCCCATGATGTTATATCTCTACTTAAGGATATTCTGGTGGAGGCCCGAAGAAAGGTGCAACTTGGGCCTCGTGGTGGGCCTAGGAATCTACCAAAAAAACCAAAGAGTATTGAACGAAGAATTAGTAAGGCCCTTGGAGTCAAAGAAGAAGATTGAACACAGTCCGTTCTGGGGCTGCCGTATTCACAAACATGCATCCTTAGCTAAAGAGGATCCCGTCAAGGGAGATTCCGCTTTGAATGGTGTGTTACTCCCGTCCTTCGCAAAGACGGGCCCCGCCGAGGGGAGAAATTCACAGAAATTTAAAGATCCGGTGGTTAAAGAAAAACCACCGGCGGACGCTTAATTGATTCTAAGTTGGAACTGTCAAAGGACCGGCAGCTTTTTGGTAGTTCGTCGGTTGCGGAAGTTCCATATGAAGAT